ATTTTCTAAAAATATGGCAAGCAATTTAAACTCCATGAGCAGTAAAAAGAAAACAGTAAAGAAATCAATTTTCTGGTTAGTTTTATTCATTTCATTTATAATATATTTCAGTCGTAAACACTGTCTCATTTTATATTAGAAGTATACGTTTAACATTTTCTAAAACCCACCTAAAAAGTAGACAACCATTTCCATTTTTAATTCTATTTAACGTGCACGAGTATATTGTATCTTCTGCCGTTATCATCTTGGGGTGGCTCCACTTATGCATACCTTTGTTATGTTTTTTTTTTTCTTTTATTTAACATTTAAAAACCTGAAATTTTGCATTTTAAAAGAGATATTGATGGCAGTAAAAATAGTTGCAATTGCTTTCATAAAAAGAATTATTGCAAAATAAAAACATATTTGTCCATCTGCAGTCGATCGCCTTTTCCTCAAAAGCGACTAATTTTTAGGTGTACCTATAGTAAAAATTTAGATTTGGTCAGCTAATATTCATTTGTCTTTCTTTCATATTAATTCTCACTATTCATATTTTTATTAGATATAATTCTCTTATAGTTTCTCTTCTTAATTGGCCATTTCTGAAATATTGAACTAAGGATTTTAACAACATAACTTTCTTATGGTATTGCTATTTCATAAATTAATATTAATATATTTCACTATATAAAATTTTAATACATAAAGTTTCCAATTCATGATTCGGTGGCTTTTCTAAACATATATTGGAATATTTGTGATAGGAGCAACTAAATTAAGCTTCTAAACTTAGGGTTGTTACATTTTTAACTTAGCTTAGCACTAAACAACATTTAATCATTGAAATTGTTTTTGTACATAAAATTCCTTCCCATGAAGCACAATTCTTTTTTACTATTTTTTAGATGCCACACAAAGGCCCTATAAGAAATTTAACATAATTTAATTAATTTCAGTTTTAAATTTGATGAAGTTTCTTCAAATTCTTTAGAATTTTTAAAGAATAAAAATTACATAGTATTGGTTTAAAATCTTTAGCTAAACACACAAATTCTTTTCTTTCTTCTCATTAAAATGCCTTGTCTTTGTGTCTAAGGCATACTGGGGTGGAAGGTTCTGCAAGTATGCGGGAGGTGCCACTCGGTAGAACATCTCACACCGTGCTAGGGCTCGTCCGAGCGTCTTAAGCTTGCAAGATAGACTTTCACATGAGCTTCACTTGACGTCAAGAGTATTGAGGGCTCAGTCGAGTTCCCCTATAGGCCGCACAACCTCTCTCAAACGTGGAAATGTGTGGTTTTCCCTTCTTTGTGCGGGCTTCGATTTCCCCCCTTCTTGTTATCAGCGATACACTTACTTGACTGGGCGTAACACCCATGTCGAAGGGCTCCAGCGAGTTGCTCGAGCTTATTTCGAGCATGAAAAGTTTTCAAACCACTCGAAAAAGCCGCTCGGGTTGTTCACGTGCAAATAAGCTCACACTTAACCACTTTCTTTATTTTCTTTGATTAAGGCACGATTTCCTCCCGCTTATGGCACCTACTCTCTCTCTCACTCTCGCGCGCACACACACACACACAAACACACACACACACACACATGCTGGGTTCTAATGAGAGGAAAGGAGGGGATAAGCCCTTGTATAGTTTTCCATGAGTGTTGTAATAGGTGAATTTATTTTTTTTTTAAATTAAGTTAATACAAATTAAGTGTTGATTATTATATTCTCCCCTTATAAAAATTTCGTCATCGAAATGTAAAGAATATAATTCAACCTTAATTGAATAAATGTAGATGACATTTTCTCAAAAATGGTTCTTTTTTCCATATGACATCTCTTTCTATTCCTTGCTTTCATAATATATGAATTTTTTTTTTCTTTTTTTAATTTCTGAGTTGCTTCACATCACAGCCTATAATTCTTTCTGATTCTTCTATAGAGGTCAGATCGGGTTGAATGTCTATGAGATCTGTGACAAACTTATTAGCCTCATCAACAATATATTTTTCGTAGTAAGGAGATATGAAATACATTATATATCTCATACATATGTGTTGGTCCCTAAACCCTAAACCCTAAACAAGACTATAAATAACTTTCCCAATCTTCTCCTTGATCTCATATGGACTAACATATCATGGGCTGAATTTTCTAGATTTTTCAAATTGTTTAACACCTTTCATGGGACTAATTTTCAAAAAAACAATTTCTTCTATCTCAAATTCCACTAGTTGGTGATGAGCATCATAATATTTTTTCTGTCATTCGTGAACTGCCATTATCTATCATTAATCAACCTAATTTTCTTAGTGATTTAATCCACTAACTCATTACCAGTTTCTGCCCAACAAAGTGATGGTTTATATTTTCTTTAATATAGAGCTTTTTAAAAAGATATACCCATATTGGTCAAGAAACCATTATTTTAGGCATTTTTATCAGGGTAAATGTATTTCTCAATTTCTACCAAAATCTAGTACACCAAGTTAAAGCAGTTCTTCTAATGTTTGAATCATTCTGTCTGATTCACCGTTTGTTTGAGAATGAAAAGCTATACTAAACGTTAGTTATATACTCAAAACCTCTTGAACTTTTCTCCATAATCTAGATGTGATTCTTTTGTCCCCATCTGAAACAATTGAATTTAGGTTTTCATGTAGTCGTACGATTTCATTTACATAAGTTCCAACCAACTTTTCAACATAATGCATCTGTTTGATAGACATGAAATGTGCAGATTTGGTCGGACGATCAATAATCACCTATATAGCTTCACAACCATGCTTTGATCGAGATAACCCAATTACAAAATCCATAATAATTTTTTCCCATTTCTATTATGGGATGTACAATGGTTGCAACAACCCACTAGGCTTCATATGCTTAGTCTTAATCGTCTTTCAAGTATGGCACATTGCGATAAACTCTGTTATGTTGTGCTTTAATCCTGACCACCAGAATAAGCCTTTAATCTCCTAATACATTTTATTACTTTATGTATGTATCGTATATTCGAGTAATGTGTCTCATGCATAATTTTTTTAATCAATCATTCACAGTAGAAATACAAATTCTATTCTTGTACTTCAACCTTTTTTTTCCATCGATCCCATATTTCTCCATCTGACTTGTATTCATTTGGTCTAATATTCTATGGAACTCGACATCCTGTTCTAATGCATCTTGTATTCTGTCCTTCAGAGTTGCTGATTTAACATCTGATTTAATAATGCAAAAATTTCATAATTTAGTACAACTAGTGATAACTTCAAATGCTCTTTATCTTAATTAATTCTTCTTTCCTTGTAATTACCCAGTTAGTACCACTGCTTGCTTTTTTTGCTCAACACATTTGCAACTATCTTTGCTTTCCCTCGGTACTAATGTATATGTAAATTATAATCTTTAATGAGAAATTTGACTTATTTTCAGCTCTTTCTGTCTAAAAATATATTCAAGTTTTGGTGATCTATGAATACTTCATATTTGTCTTTATGCAAACAATGCTTCCATATCTTTAATGCAAATAGAACTGCTGCTAACTTCAAGTCATGTGTCGAGTAATTTTTCTCATGACTCTTCAACTGTCACCCAATCAAGTCCTCTGAAAGGCAAAGTTAACATAGAGCCATTACAACATTTGTTAATATTCATTCTTTTTTAAGTGAAAAGATCTGGAATATAATTAGGAATCCCTGCCAGTTAATTTTTTTACTTCAGCTCCAATTCTGTGTTTACTAGAAGCTGACATTTTCAACCTTTGAAGTTTCTCTTGTTATCTAGCGGTATACAACTTGTTTACATCAAGGTAGTGGCCGAGTTATTATTATTATTGTTGTTGTTTGTTTTTTTGTTTTTTTTTTTTTTTTTGAGAGCGGAAGGACTTAATATGGGGTAGAACCATAGAGATAAAAGTTAGAAGGAGGTTGAGAAAATTAGACGTATGTAATGCTTCAAATGAAGGTGCAGGAGGTAGAGAGGAAGAAGGCGTGAAGAAATCTTAAGTGGGGTAATCTATCCTGAGTGGGAGTGTTAAAAGAAAAAGAGTTTTATTATTCTTCTTTGCCATCTCTTTTTTACTTTTTGAGCTCATCCACTGACCTATGGTACCAAATTAACCACCAATAGGGTAGTGGGATTGATGTTAATGTTTTTTTTATTTGTTATTATTTATTATTTTTTTATTTTATTTTTTTTAATTTTAGTTATTGTTTGTGGAATAATTTTGAATTAGGGAAGAAATGGGGAAATAAAAAAAGAAAGAGTATTGAGAAAATTTGACAAAATAATGCTTCAAAAGAAGGTTGCCAAGGTAGAGAAGCAGAAATTATGAAAAAGCCCTAGTAGAGATAATAAATCTCAAGAGTATTGCCAAATGGAATGAATTTGTTTATTCGTCTTCACCTATCAGTTACAAGGATTTGGCCACTATTTATAAAAATAGGCCCTATTGAACATGATTAAACTATCTTTAAACAAATATGAGGGCCACACTAACTAACAAATGAATTTAAACTTCTTATAATTATTTTAATGGAAAAAAAAAAAAAATGGCCACATGATACATTGGATAATATTAAAAATAAAACTCATGTCCGAGGAATAAGGTTAACTTTCACTGTATAAGTTTGTTACCATTTCATGCAAAGCTCTTTCTATACTTGAACTTGAATGTGTCACATTCTTATTGGGTACATATGGCTCACTGCTTTGTAGCATTTAAATACACAAAAGTAGACTAGTTTGGGAGCAGAAGCTGAACAGATAATATAAATGAAGTAATTAAATTGCTTGTTCATATGTCTCACAACAAATTATATTGTGCTTTCTCATGTGCTGTAGCTTTTTTTTACTCTCATTGTGTCCTTTTACGGTAACTTGCTTTAATTAGTATTTCTTGGGTCACTTTTACTATGATGGCATTTCTTATGCTCAAATTTTTTTTTAAAAGAATTATAACCTAGTTCTCTATGTAATGATATACATTTGGTATTCTATCCTTTTGAAGTTGCAGATTAATCTAGCTCAGGAGACTCTCCGTGGTTTGCTAGCTCACTGGATTACTAAAAGAAAGCAACGGTCTGGATCACAAGCCTTTAATGGTGATGGAATACCAGGGAGGGACATGCCTGGCAAAAACAGCTCACATTCAAGAATAGATGCTGATGATAGTGCAGAAAATCATCATCTTGTGCTCCCTGCATTCGAATTTTCTACTGTTTCTCCTCCTTCCATTATAACTGAGGACTCACAAGGGTGTTCTTGGCGGAAGAAGATTACGGAATTAGATGGTTCACTAGATGAGAAGGATATTCCCTGGTGGTGTTTAGACTGTGTGTTGAATGGACGTATAACTCCCAAAGACATTTTGAAGTATGTTCCCTTTCCTCATTCTTCATATCAAATCCATAGCTTCCTTTTTTCCCATACAAATAAAACATATTCTTGCACCTTTCAGGACAGGAATTTTCACAAGTCAAATCATCTTACATTTTCTGTCTCCCGTTCTCTTCTAAATTTATTCAGCATCACAGGGCTAGTCATTTTTTGAACCAGAGCTTAGCGAGCTTTCTGGCAATTGTGAATCCGGTTACTTGTGATTTTCAAAAATTTGGAAGGTTGACTTTTTACATTTGGATATTTATGGAACTCTTGAGTTTTTGAATTAGGATCAATATGTTCGATTCAAGTTCACACATAATGAGATCTGCTTTGCCTTTTATGTTTATTATTATATTCGAAATACTAGCTTTGATTTTTCACGGTTCTTACCGGTCAAAGTCAGCGGTCTTATATTTTCTTTGTTTAAGATATCTTTTCTGCTCCAATTTGAAAATGTTTGCTCATTTTTTAGTGGGGATTTTCCATGTTGCAAAATGGCATCTTGGATTCCTTCTCGTTTTTTCTTGCATATTTTTTTCGTTAGCACCATTAGGATTGAAGTCAACTGCCACAGAAAATGCACAAAAATTTTTTGAGTGTATAATTAAAATGATCCCTAGATTTTTTATAAGCATGTTCATGTTTATTCCCAAACTTCCACATGTTTAATTTTGTTTATCATCTTATCAAAATATTAACCAGTTTGGTTCTATTGTCAACATTGTCATTTGTTTGGATAAAAATTGGTATCGGGAAGTAATTTTTGAGGTCATTTTAAATTTTTTGGTGTCAAACACGTTACTATAAGCTGGCCTAAGTAGTTAGATTGATTCTAAAAAGTTTAAAATGTTCTAACGAAAAGTTTTACTCTATTCATTTCTATCTAAAGAAGTGACAAAGTTGATGGTAGAACTAAGGGTCCATTTGAGAATGAGGCAGAGCACCGTTCCACTGCCGAGAATGGCTACAGAATCCTTCTCCCTCGCCTTTGTGAGTTCCTTCGGTCGGAAATTATTTTTTCTTTCATTTTGGACGCGAGATATCCACTGTCTTGACCCTGCCGCCCCACCCGTGTGTTGTTTTGATAAAAAGCTAATAAAACGTTTTGTATTCAAACAATAATTTCTAATTAACCAATTGTAATTTTATAAACGAGCTTTCTCACTCGTGGGATTTAAACGAAGATTCTGGAGTTAACTTAAAATCCGTTAGGAAAGTAGGAAAGTAGATTTTATTACTCAAATAACAAAGGGGCTACAAACAAGACTCAAAACACAAAAGAAATACAACATAACACAAATCTCCGACTAAGGCTCGGTAGGACAGTCGATGGACAACGGTGGTGAGAGGGTCGAGATAATTAGTGGAAGGCTGGACATGGGCAGGTAGGGCTGGCGGCAGGGTAGCACGGTTGACATAAGAGCTGCTTGTGACTAGGCAGCAAGAGGGAGGATGGGTTGCGGTCAGAGCTTGGAGCAAGTACGGGAGTAGGGGGATGGCAGTTGGGTAGCTAGGGCGGCAGTAGAGTGCCTTGCAACTAGGTCAACAAGAGGGAGGATGAGTTGCAAATAGAACATGGAACAAATATAGGAGTTGGGGCTGGCGGCAAGGCAGCAATGCTGGCAGTAAAACTATGGTTAGGAAATAAGTGGTTGTGAGGGGGAATTATGGGAAGGACAATGGATAGGGGTGGTTGCTATTGGTAATCAGGGCGAAGGAAGGATCAACAACGGTAGGGGAATGGTGAGGATACATATCTCCGCAGGATTGAGCTACAACCAGAACACCCCTCGAAACCTTGAAGAGGATCACCACTTCATACGAGTTACAGCTGGAGTACCTTCTCGCATTTGGATACAACCCTAAACAAGAAAACAACCGCCGACAGTAAGCTGGACAGAAATATCCAAAGTAGAAACTAAATCCTAATACAAAAAACAATATATTTATAAAAAAGGATAACTAGGAGGGCGAAACCCTAATCTCAGTCGCGTTCGGTATAGCAAGCTCCCTACTGAATCGATTTGGGTCGGTTCAGAACACAACCTCCGCATCAATCACCCGGTGATGTGTGGCTTAGCTTGGCTGGACCGGCCTAATTAGTTCAGATGCGGTTTTGGTTCAACAGGAGGCTAGACCGGTTGACTATTTCAATGGGCAGGTCATGAACTTCATCTACTTCCCCCACACACTCCTACATCTAGACGTTGCCTTCTAGCAAGAGCTAGCCTTTCCAACCTCCAATCACCGGCTTGTTCCCACAAGAAAGCACCATCACCATTCCTCCTTAGCGTGACAGAGACGCCGCTTTTGCTTCTTTTCTCCTCTGCTGCTCGACAAAGACGTCCTTCCTCCTTCGCTGGGGGCTTCAGTTCTCCTCACACGCCCGTTTCTCATGTCCGCAAGACGGTGGCGCCGCCTCCTCCCTCGACATTAGCCTTCGTTCAGCTTCAGGGAAACCCTAACTCGTGTCTGTCGTCTCTCACACTCACCGTTCAACACTCTTGGTAAGTTCCTTCCCCATATGACATTTTATAGGGTGCATATACTTTTTCGACTTCCGACTCCCTCGCTTCATTTCCTCCCCCTTATGGTTGCTGGACTCCTTGTTTTTTCTCCTTCGACTCTTCGCTTCTTCTCCCAGATAATTGAATTCGGGCATTACAATCTGCCCAACTTACAAAAATTTCGTTCTCTATATTTGTAGACAAATCTCAAGTCATTTTCTCATTAAGCAGGTCAATATTAATTATTTATGAAATTAAGATTCATTCATTCAGATGAAAAGTATTCACTATAAGATAAAAACTCAATACAAGACGAGTCAATTATACTGCGGATAATAATACTAAAACAAGAAAATTTACTAGGAAAATAACTTTATAAGAAAACGCCAAACTCAGCAAACCTCATCACCATCTGCAACAGTAGGTTCTTCAGGCTCATAACGAGAGGCAATGTTCTCGAGGTCGAACAAGTTGTGTTGGTTGACCTTATCGGAACTGAAGCTATGGACTATCTTTTTCTGCCCACGTGCAGTCTTCTGTGAAGGAGCTCCACCTGATTTCTGATTTTCAATGCACTTTTGGCTAAGATATGACTATTATCTTAGTCATATCCGACAATACCAATAACAAGTGTTAAACCCATCAAACATTCATCTTTATGTTGTCTTCCACATTTACCATAAGTGATTACTTTATTCTGAGTCGTACCCCTGCTAACTCTACTTGAAATTTTCTTGGACTTCTTCCTATTGGAACCTTCTGAGTGATCTACGTGTTCTTCATCAACACTCTTCCACTTGTGCATCTCTTACGCTTCTGAGTATGCCGATAGTTGATCTTCACTCTTCTAGCTCGTTCTACTAATAACGAGTATTCATCGATCCCTAAAAGTACCGATGGCTGTCTAATCGATTTCTTTAATCCTGAAAGAAATTTGTAGCACTTTTCTTCTGCTGCAGCGATCAACTGTGTCGCATACCTCGACAGTGTAGTGAATTCTGCTTCGTACTGCATGATTCTCTTCTCTCATTGCCTCAACTTGACGAACCTGTTCTATATGTCTTTGAGCGAATAGGGGTGCAAACTATTTTTTGAATATTTCCACGAACTCTTCCCAACTGACCATCATGTTTGGTAGGTTCCCTAGCTTGTTCTAACGCTGCCCAAGCCAACACCTTTCAGCTTCTCCATCAAACACAAACGTAGCTAATGACACTCTTCTTTCATTCGGATAAGCTATACTATCTAATATCTTCTCTATCTGCATTTGCTAGTTCTTCGCTTCAATAAGGTCTTCAATTTCCTTGAAGAAATGTGGATGCATATCTTACAATATCTTCAATTTCTTATCCACATTGACTGTATCTCTTCCAATAGGCTGCGATATGGACTTTTGAATCAGCTGAGTCATCGCCACCATCATTTAGGTCAGGAAATTCACATTCTATTTTATAGTAGGTTGTACTTCATTTTCTATCTGATTCTCTTCTATAATTTCAGATGTATCACTATGTCTGAAATGTTATAATTATTAATTTGAGTTATCATATATTTTTAATTTTTATTAAAAATACTCTTATAATTATCTTATTGGCTATTTCAACCATATTCTATTTTGTTATCCTAAACATTTTCTGATACCAATTTTGTCACGACCCGGCTCAGGACTTAGAATTTAACCAAGACCGGAATAGATGATTGAATTGTGAGAATTAAGTTTTCGATATTCATTTACTATTTAACAAAGGAGAGAGCTACTAATCAATTTAAATTAAAATAATATATTTAAATTTACTTGGTTACTGGTTGTTCGCGTCTTTTATAAATATTTTTTTTTCTATCGCTCATCTTTTAATCACTTAATTAACATGAAAAGTTAGTTTACAAAAAAACAATGAGCTAAACATATTTATGAATGCTCATATTCCTTAACTATAATGATGCGAGGGAAAATAAACAATATGCATTCCAATTAAGCTTTTAATAAATCACTAAAAATATTTTAAATGTTATTTAATGAATCTTACTATATCAATAACATACGAATATCATTCTATCTCTGTACAATGGTCACAGGAGCATCTTATAAAAATTTTATCACTTAATGTACTTTACTATCAATATTTTTTATCATATACGTTGACAATTACCTTAGTATTCCCTTAGTAGTATCATCAAGGGGCGACTCCATCATAACCAAGTATGCATATACAAACATACTCTAAAAATATTATTTTTTCAATAATAATTATTTCTCTCATTTGCGTAATATTAATATTTTTGTACAAGATATAATGATAACTTAAATAAAACTGAGCACATAAGTCATTCTTACAATATGAACAAAATTTAATAGAACCATAAATCATGTGTATGCAGTACTATAACAATAATAATAAATGTCTTTGGTCGAGAATAAACAAAATATTATTATATTAAAAAAATATGAGTACTATGCTTGATATCAATTAATTTATTATTTGATTTGTCCTGATGTTGAAAAATTGAAAACCTAACATATTATAAAATTTAATTAATTTATTATTTTACTAAACTATTAACTTTACATTGTTTAATTATTAAATTTAATTATTTTATTTTATGTAATCATAATTATTTATATGTATATGTATTCCAATTATAAAATTCTTATTAAATATTAATTTTACTAAATTTCACCTCTAATATAACCTCGGTCGAAAGAAAAATCTTTTTCCCCACACGCTCTGCTCTTCTTCCCTGCACACGAGGGCTTGGCTTCGACTCCCTCCCTCAAGAAAGCATGAACCCGTCGCCACTTCCTCAACATGACAGAGATGCCGCTGATGCTGCTTTTCTCTTCCTTCGCTGCTCGACAAAGAAGCCCTTCCTCCTTCCCCGGCTGCTTCGGTTCTCCTCACATGCCTGGTTCCTCTCTTTGTCGCCTCTTCCCCCTTGGGAACCGACACAGCTATTATGATTGCTTCTTCTCCTTCGACTACAAAGAAATCCTAACTCACGTCTGTCATCTCTTGCACTCTCCGTTCAACACTTCTGATAAGTTCCTGCCTCCCCCATACAACATTTTATAGGGTGAATTTACCTTTTGGCTTTCTACTCCCTCTCTCTCCTTTCCTCCTTCGGTTGCTTGACTCCTCGTTTCTTCTCCTTCAACTCTTCATTTCCTTTTCCGACTACTGAAATTGGGCGTTACAGAACTCTTCCACTGATAGATCTCTGCTGCAGGTGAGGGGGTGTCGAAAACATATTCTGGCTGTAGTGAGGAGGCCTTTTTTTTTGCATCACTTTTTTATCTTCTCCCAATTGGTAATCTTGTCACTGTTTTCTCTCTTCCTCTACCTCTGTAAGTTTCCCACCACAAGGAGGTGCTTTTCCTCAATTTGATGATGGTTTTACCTTCTTATCTTTTAGCATGTTTTGTACTCGAAGATTCTCTCAACTCACTGTAGCCATTCGATGAAGTCGTCGGGATCCATACCTTCATTGAACTATGGTAGATCCACCTTTATTCCAAAGCATGTGTCCTTCATATGTGGCCTTCTCTCTCGGCCTTCTCTGATGTTGAATTGCAAAGCGTAGTGACCTGTCCTTTTCGTCAATGTAATCCTCCTTACGGAAGAGGTTGAAATTCTGGTCTCTTTCACCTCTTCAACTTTCCTTGTCACCATCAATAAGTTCCTCCTGTGTTTCATTCTTAATGTTCATATGCCTCCATTGAAGTCTCCAGATCTCTTGTTGTATCTCTTTTCGGGTAGGCTCGTACATGTATCTCTTTGGTGACATGACTAGGGTTTAAGGATGTGAGGTGAAAAAGAGTATATGAGACTAATTGAAGCTTTAGGAAAATTAATTTTGGGGTTGTTTATTTTGAAAATCAACAATGAGAAAGTATGGTTAGGTCAAAATTTGTCTATGGTTTGGGAATAGGAAAGACTGCTTTTTTGTTTTGGAGGTGGCTTGGGTTGTAATGGATACTAGGAAACTCTACGATAAGACTAGGGTTAGGCTTGTTCTAACACCAAATTATACTGAAGTTAACCCAGAATCTAATAGCAAAGCATATATTATTACTTACACAACAATGGGGTTACAATCATGACTCAAAATATGAAGAAAAATACAAAACAACATGAATCTCTGACCAGGGCTAGGCAGAACGAGATGTGTACAGTAATGGTGAGAGAGTCGGGATAATTGGTGGCAGGCTAGACTTGGGCTGGTGGGGTTGGCAACAGGGTCGCAAGGCTGGTAGGAGAGTAGCTTGCGGCTAGGGCAGCGGGAGCGAGGATGGGTTGTGGTTGGAACAGGGAGCAGGTACTAGAGTTGGGGGAAGGAGACAGGGTGGCAAGGCTGGCAGTAGAGCAGCTTGCGGCTAGATCAACAAGAGCGAGCAGGTATGGGAGTTGGGGCTGGCGCCACGATGGCAACGCTGGCAGTAGAACTATAGTTTGGAAAGACATGGTTTGGAAGGGGAATTACCGAAAGGGCAGCGACCAGGGGCTGCTGCTGCACGTAAGCAACAAGGGAAGGATCAACAAGGGAAGGATCGATAGCTGTAGAGTAAGGGAAAGGGTAAGGATAAGTATCCTTTCGTGATTGAACTACAGTTAAAGCACCCCTCGAATCCATGGAGAAGATCACCACCTTTGACGAATTACAGCCAAAGCACCTCACTTTCGGATACAACCCTAGACTGGAAAGGAGCTGCCCTTGACAAGTTTGACAGAAATCTCCAAAGCAAAAACTAAACCTTAACACAGAAAACTACATATTTATAATAAAGGATAACACACACAAAGAGAGAGAGAGAGAGAGAGAGAGAGAGAGAGAGAGAGAGAGAGAGAGAGAGAGAGAGAGAGAGAGAGAGAGAGAGAGAGAGAGAGAGAGAGAGAGAGAGAGAGAGAGAGAGTACCCCTCCCCTTGGACGGCAGCCCCTCCCCTTGGGCGGCAGCCCCAACCCTAAGCTTGATTGGGTTCAGGCCCCCAGCCCCATGTCAAATGGGATTTTTCAAATGATAAAGCCCCCTCAAATGCACCCTAAATAGTTTTAAATCTTGCGAGTTTGAGGATTAAACTGAATATACGAAAACTTGGAATAAAATGGATTCACCAAAAAGGTCCAGAAATACATTGGAGGTGAAGTACAGAAAATTTCTTTTCTGTTCCTTGCTTCGCCTTCCCCTTTCTCACCCCTATTGTTCCATGTAAGTATTGTGGCCTGATATAGTTTTTATCCTCGCTCAATTTTCTCTCTTTTTTTTTTGGCTGCATCTTTTAAACATAAATAGCGTGGTTTTTAATGCTGCCACTGCTGTACTGTTATGATTCATTACATGCACTTGTTATTTAGACATACAGGCAAACCCATCGGAATTGATTTTGCTGGAAAAAATGCTGAAAATTTCAACCAAGTAATTGCTTAGCGATTTCTTCTTCAAGTCATCAATGCGGAGCTTATTAATTTGTTTTGCAACATAGGAATCCACTAGGAGCAATGAATCGGATCATTTGTCCAGCACTTATGCATGATTGTGTATTTGTTTTCTTTAACAAATTTATTGTGGATGGAGTCATTAATCTTGCTTTTGAACAATTATCTTGTCACAAATGTTTTCATTGATTGTGTTTGATGGGAGACTGATTAGTTATAATATTGAAGATTTGAAATGCCTAGCCTATATTTTGTTTGGTTGTTTTTACCCAACTTGATCAGCATATTACTGATATGAAATGAATGAAAATCATATTAAAAACCTTTAGCACGCTAAATCTGTTCTTGTTATTTGTTAGATATTTACACTTAAACCCTACACCGAATATTAAATCCATCTGGATTCTCCTTAAGTGTTCTCCTTCGTTAAACTACAAATTTAAATAATGTTTATTGATATTATTTATTTCATAGATTTTGCTTTTAGATTGCAAGAAGAATTATTTGGTTCCGAAGCTGAAATTTGGCATGAATGATTTCTCATTGTACTTGCTGCAGATGCAGAATTGATGCTTTTTGTTGCTCAAACTACGTTGATTATATACTTATGCCTTTTTATTCTGTTTTATATAGGTGCAGTTTTTACTTGCATCCTTGTGAAGGCTCCAACATCCAAGTCCTTACACAAGGCAAATTGAGTGCACCAAGGATATTGCGCGTACACAAAGTAAGCAGTGAGTTGTTGTACATGTATTTTAAGTGCCTACATTAGCTCGCAAACAGAATTGTGTGATCAAATTTATTACCCATTATATGCTTATTCTTCTTTGGAGTTAAAGAAGCTTGGTTTTTTGTAGTGATTCTGTTTTGCATTAATTGGAGCTTTGGGACTATTGTTTATCTTGTTTCATATTTCTTTTTAGTTTTAAACAATGAAATTTTATTAGAAATCCATGAAAATTTTACAAAATGAAATAATTGCTTTGCAAAAAGCAAAATAAACAAAATACATTGGATTAATATATTATGCATGCTAAGAGAGTATTATCTATTTAAATGGAGAGTGGCAAATACTTGCTTAGTCAAGATTACAAAGTCATCGGGAGAGCTATTGCATTTAGTTTGAATCTAATTAGTCTGGGAGAATGAAAAATTTTTGTCATTGGACGCCTCTTCAAGAAATAAGTTGAAGCCTTAAATCTACTAAATCAGGTAAAACTTATTGTAGAATATTAAAACTCAAGTAAGCTTGAATCATCAACCTCAACATCAAAATTTTTTTGGATATCATTTGGGGACGGAGTTGAAACATCAACATGTATGACAATCAAATCTGCTGATAATCGATATGGGAGAGTAGGGAGATGCTGATTTCAAATAAACCTACTAGGGAAGGTGCACGCTTAAAAGAAGTTAGTGTTGGTTGTAATGCATGACAACATTCTAGGCAGGAAAGTGAACAACTTTTACCAAGTCTGTAGGCTCAGTCTGAACATTTATATTTACTACAATTAAAACTTGCTTGTCGTTACCATGATTAATAGAGCAATTTTAATTAATTGGTTCCCTAAAGGATAAATTTCTTAATTTTAAATGAGCCTTGGCGCGACATCATATTTATGATCAAATGTTTTGCATGGATGACAATAGAAGGCTAACTCTCAAATTTCACTTTTTGACAATATCATTTTTTAACTTGCCACTCAATCTCTCTAGCAAAAGAATCTGAAATGTGTAATTTAACAACAACAAAGAATCGATAGTATGGTGCGTCTGGCAATAGTAGAAACTTGTATATGTTTGCCTTGTATTAATGCTAAATGGCTTAATGATTGTTTGATGAGATAGAGACAACGAGGAGGGAAGACAACCGAAATTGTGGTAATGAGGTGCCTTAGAGGTGTTAAAGGATGAAGGCCACTTCAGCATACTAATCAGGAGACTCATTCCTACAATAGGAATTTGTGATGAATGACAAGACAAAGCACTTTAATAATTTGATTTCAAAGGTAGTTGTTAAGCACATGGAGATTGAGAAGTGCAATAGTGAAATCACCTGTCAGGTGTAAATCAAACATGAAAGCACTAATAATCTTAGGCGACCATAGCAATATTTACCAACCAAAGTGTGGGAAGATGGTGTTGTCATATAAAAAATTTGATCCTTAGTACTAATGGGTGACTTATAACGACTTGAGCCATGTTGAAGCATTAAAGGAAATATTTGGCATATGGATTTGGTTGTGAGAAACCTTTGAATAAAAACAAACTTCAGGAGGAAAAATTACGTGCCTTCTTTCTTTATTCACACATAAGGTACAGTTATAGACAATTGAATATCCTAATTTACAAACTTTACTAATATATCTAATCCTAAATATGTAAGGAAGATAATTCTTAAATAAAAAAAAAGGAAGAGAATAAAAAACAAATCAATGAAATTTTAAAGCTGTCTTCCAATTAAATTATCCAGGATTCATGTCGGTGGCTGGCTGGTCTCACCTTCTTGAATTTTCACTCTCCCCCTCAAACTGGGTGATACCAAAGTTAAACTACAATAGGATAAGTAAATATTATCATTAAAAGTAAACTGCTAGTTACAATTAACACACTTGAAAGAGGAAGTAACAACAGACACGATACAAATAATCAAACTCGGGTGGGATCATAGGGTGGTGGAGGTGATCGACGAAGGTTTGTAAGGTGGCGGTAAGGTGGGAGCGCGGAGGAAGTGGGCAGATATGACAATAGATCAAGTCCTTGCTGTCCAGGGCGGCAGCATGGTGGAATTTGGTTCCCGAGGGCTGCAACGACAGATATGTGGCAGGGAGGTCGTGCAGGAGGGCTGGGACAACAGTTAGGTGTCAGTGACGTGGTCTGGGATGACTAGGATAACATCAGGTGAGAAGGGGAGAGGTTTTATGGTGGCTGGAACAACGATGGCAGCAAGCGCCCGTGCTGGTATGCAAAAATTGTAGGTTGAATATGTCGGCAAATTCCTGGCAGTTGTAGCAGGTAACGTCTGTGGGGAGGAAGCAGAAGAGGAATAGGGAAGATAAACATCACCTCAGGAGAGGGATGCAATCGAAGCACCACCTAAACCCGAATGACAATGACTGTTGTGAACAAACACACTCCAAAAGAAAACCTCAAAAAAAGGAATCATATAAATAAGCCCTAGATACGTAGGATTGGTTTCCCTTATGGAAATGAGATGCCAAACCAATGTGGGAGAGCTGGTCGGGATTGGCTCCTGCTGTTTTTTACTCTCCCATCACTGTAGCACTACTATAGTTGGGATTGCAGAACTGTTGTGTAGCTCCCGAGTCTGTCTCCCGAGTTGGGGGAGCTTCGACATCATATATTGAAGCTTCTATCTCCTTATAGTAGTCTTGTGGACCTCGTTGAATGTACCAACAATGTTAGAGGCACTTGGTAAGTTAATCATGTAGGCGCTATCATTTTAAAACACATCTTGATAAAATAAATATCCATCTATCTTTGACACAACTTGAGCTGGAGCTATATAATAATATAATTTCTCACGAGCTCAATCACAAGCAAGTAAATATATAATTTGCTTCTCCCACTCCTACTCGGCTGGATGTATCTTATAAATAAGATCGTCGGGAGGAATCATGTCTGAAATTTTAGGTAAATTTTTGTGCGGTTTGATTGTTGAATGTGAACAAAAGAGAAAACCAAATATTTTTAGATGAAGATTATATTGCAAGGGCTCTAACATGAGCACATTTTTCCATCAAAATATGGAGAGGAGCTTTGAATTCAAGTACCCTGCCTGACATTTTGTTAACGAGGTAGGTGAAATGAGCACAATACCTCAAAATTTTTTTAGGATATTGTGAGAAAATATTATAGACCAAGATACTTCAAGGAGATGTCTAATCTTTATCTCAACTATCTCATTTTATTGTGGAGTGTCAATACATGAACTCACATGGATGATATCATTCTTTACAAGAAATGGACCAAGGATCGAGTTGACATATTTATTTGCATTATCAGTTTTTAGAATCTGAATTTTGTGTTGGAACTGAGTGTAAATCATGTCAATGAAGGACTGAATTTCATAAATCATGTCATGGACTGGAGAGTGAAAAATGATTTCACTTAAAGGTATAAACGCCCAGACGACATACAAATTTGGCTGATGACACCCGAGAGCTTGGATTTGGTGGAGGAAACCACCTGCAGCTAAGAAGCACAGGGAAGTAGTGCCCTCATGAAGTAGTAGCGTCTCCACGAGATCCATCAAAGCGCCAGCAGAAACTGACTACTGTAGGTAGAGACTCCGACGGAGGAAGAGGAGCTAGGATTTGTTTCAAAGCTCTGATACCACAAATAAAAACAAATTTTGGGAGGAATAATTACTTGCCTTCTTTCATTATTCAGACATAAGATGCATATATTGGCAATTTCATCTCCTAATTTACAGACTTTCCTAATATATCTAGGCTTAACTTTGGAAAAGAGATAATTCTGAAAGAAAATAAAAGAAACATAACTAGGAAGAGAGTTAAAACAAATCAAGGAGTTTATAAAGTTGTCTTCCAATTCAATGCTCCAGGATCCTTGTAGATTACTGGCCGATCCCACCTACCTGAATTTCCGCAACCTTTCCCTATATTATTAATGAAAAAAAAGGGGTGCAATATGCTTGATAGGAGGTGCAACTGCAACATGATTAAACCGAATTCATGGGACTGATGGAACATCAGAATCTGCATGAACAAAGTACTAGGAGCAACCATGGAATTCCGACATTATCCATAGTAAGATTGAGGAAAATTAAAATTAGCAACACAAGATAACACAAGGTGAGTGCAAAGCTAATATATCAACCTTTGAAAATAGGATATCAAGAGATGAATGACCGAGAGGAGTTTGTAGAGGAGAAGCTCTCTTAATTTACAAACTTTCCTAATAGATCTAATCTTAAATTTAGAATGGAGATAATTCTGAAAGAAAATAAAAGAAACATAAATAGGAAGAGAATACAAACAAATAAAGGAGTTTGCAAAAGTTTTCTTCCACCTTCCTAAATTTCCACACCTTCACCCAGATTATTAATGAAAGGAAAAGGGTTGCAATAACCTTGATAGGAGGTGCAACTGCAACATGATTAAGCCCGAATTGAAGGGACTGATGGAACATCAATATCTTCATGAACAAAGTACTAGGACCAACCATGGAGATGCCAACATCAATCATAGTAAGATTGAGGAAAACTAAAATTAGCAACACAAGATAACACAAGGTGAGGACAAAGCTAATATATCGACCTTTGAAAATAGGATAATAAGAGATGAATGAAAGAGAGGAGTTTGTAGAGGACAACCATGAGGTGAATGTTTGAAATCGTGGCAACAAGCATTGATAAACGACTGAAAGAGCCAAGAGGAATCCTAGGGAACAACATGGGCGCTACTCTCTACATTAGAAGGCTAGGGAGTTGGAGACAGGCTGCCATCAAGTCATTATGCTGTGAAGTGGGTGCATGGATTACTTTGTGAGGGTTGCAACAAGAGACAAAGAATGATGAGGAAGCCATGAGTTATAACTTGGAACAATCACGGGTTCGATTGCTAGGGATGCAAGCCTTGTTTGGTGACTGAAGAGAGTGAGGATGGTGAGTCCAAGTGAACGAGCAATAGCATGCAGATGGAATCGTGGGCATGGTCGCATGAAACAAGCAAAAATTGTGTG